CATCTTTGTCTCTTCTGATTAGTTTTAGTTTAAAGTCTATTTTATCAGATATTAGAATTGCAACACCTCCTTTTTTTCTTAGTACCATCTGCTTGGTATATTTTTTTCCAGCCTTTTACCTTAAGGTAGTGCCTATCTTTGAAAGTGAGATGAGTTTCTTGCAGAGAACAAAAAGATGGATTTTGTTTCTTAATCCATTAAACTAGTCTGTGTCTTTTGACTGGGCAGTTCAGTCCATTGATATTTGAAGTTATTAATGAAAGATGTGTATTGAATCCTGTCATTTTTATCTGTTCATATTGTTGATATAGCTATGCATTTCCACAGTTATACCTTCATTGAATTTCTTTCCATCACTCCTTATGTATAGTCATTCCTTTCTTCAGCTCTTTGTATTGCTTCCAGAACTCTCTGAAGGGCTGGTTTTGAGGACATGAATTCCTTCAGCCTATTTATGTCATGGAAGATTTTTCTTTCCCCTTTGACTATAGTAGACATTTTGGCTGGGTAAAGTAATCTGGGTTCACATCTGTGGTCATTTAGAACTGGGAATACTTTGGTGCAGGCTCTTCTGGCTTTCATAGCTTGAACTGAAAAGTCAGCTGTAATCCTGATGGGTTTGCCTTTATATGTGACTTGTTTTTTTTCCCCCTTTTTTTGCAGCTTTCAGTATTGTCTCTTTGTTCTGAACGTTTAGTGTTTTTACTATCATGTGCTGTGGAGAGTTTCTTTTCTGGTTCTGTCTACTTGGTGTTCTATATGCTTCTTGTATTTGTATGGGCATGTCTTTCTTTAATTTTGGGAAACTTTCTTCTACAATTCTGTTGAAGATCTGATCCATACCAATATCTTGAGATTCTTCTCTCTGCATGCCTATGATTCATTAGTTTGGTTTCTTTATGGCGACACACAATTCTTGCATATTCCATTCTTGTGTTTTCTTAAATTTTTAAAATGTTTGCTTGAGTGGTCTAATTCATTCACTTTATCTTCCAGTCTTGATATTCTGTTTTCTATTTCATTCATCCTATTGGTAAGGCTTTCTCCTGTCTTTTCTAATTTCCTGAGTGTTTCACTTCCTTTTTCAGCCTGAGTAGTCTTCAATATTTCTAACTCTTTTCTGAATTCATTCAGAAGTTTATCCCTATCTTCCTTCAGTTCTTTGGTTTCTTTGTTTGTGTGTTCTTTAAATTCACTGAATTCTTTTATCATGTTTATAATCATTCTTTTGAGTTCCATGTCCTGTGTTATCTCTAGGGAGTTCTCATTGTACTTCTTTAGAGGACTGTTGGTACTTGGTGGGGATATATTACTTTGGTTTTTCATGTTATTATTTTTTCTCTGTAACTTTGACATGTGAATTTCTTTCGTAGTTTCTGATTCTTGTGTGAGACTCAAGCCGTCTTTTGTTGAGTTTAGATCTGCTTCTTTTTGTAAACTTTATGTGCCTTTGTGGTTTACTTGTTGGGCATGAAAATCTGGTTGGTTTAGGCTTCAGGTGCTCTCTTTTGATTTTATATTGGAGTGGCCTAATTACTTTTGTCTTCAGGAATTCCCACAGTTGCCGAAATGAGATGGTGATGAGCTCAGATGCTCTCGGGCTTTCTCCTAAGGTATGGGTCCCTCCAGGAAAAATGCTGTCCTCAGAAATTTGGGGGTTGGGCTGGCCTGGGAGCTGGGCCCAGGTAAGATGCTGGTCTCAGGAAGCTGGTTGCTGTGCCACCCAGGAATGCAGAGGGAGGTGGGGATGGGAAGAAGCCTCAAGGACTCCTGGGGACTACTGGGAGGAACTGGGTTGGTGTGGATGCAAATGATCAGGAAGCAGTGGTGGCTCTGGGCTGAGACGTTAGCCCTGGTGTCTGTGGTGCCAAAGCAAGAAATGGGCCAGTATCCAGGCTAGGAGGAGCGGTGCAGTAGGGGAGCTGAGAGGGTGAAAGAGGCTAGGGGAGTCAAGGTGCTGGCACCAGTATGCAGAGGCTATGCAGCCCAGAAAGCCAAGGGAGGTGAGAGTGGGACCAGGCCCAGAGGGCTCCTGGGGACTAAGAAAGTTTCTTAGTCCAGGATGCCCAGGGGCTGTGCAGCCCAGGGAAGTTCATCTATGAACTTTACTATATAACATCTATGTACAAGACTGTTCTCTAATTCATGCCAAAGCAGCAGCCACATCTGCATGTGAACAGGTAGGTCTATTCTCAAAACCGGCTATTTACTGGCCCTGGCTGGTTGCTCCATTGTGCAGAGTTGTAGATGTGATGATAAAGGTGTGCTTTCATGTGTCCTGTGGCTAGTGAGCTATGAAAAGCTTAAAAAGGTGCATGATCCGTCATTGGCTCGTCACTACTTCCAGGCAAGGGAGGCAGGTTGTTGCTGGTATTCTCTCTGCCACCCACAACCTTAACTTTATGGTCCCCACTTGGTCTTCAAATGACTTGAAGGTTGTAGAGTTCCTCATGTCTCCAAGCTTCCTGCTGATGGCAGAGCCCATAGTAGACAGGGCAGCAGATGTTTTCTGGCCTGCCTGTGAAAGGGTTTCTTGAGTTGTAGCTTGGCAAGCTCCACCCAGAGCTCTTCCTCTTCCACCTCTGTCAGGTATGTTCCCTGCGGCCCAATACAAATTTAGTAGCATATAGGTTTTTAAAATATTCTCTTATAATGTTCTGTATCTTTCTGGGGTCTGTTATGATGTTTCCCCTTTCATCTCTGATTTTGTTGATTTGGAGGTGCTCTTTCTTTCTTTTGGTTAACTGGGCAAGCAGTCTGTCATTCTTGTTTATTTTTTTCAAAGAACCAGCTCTTGGATTTGTTGATTCTTTCGATTTCATTCATTTCTGCCCTGATTTTTGTTATTTCTTCTTGTCTGCTGGGTTTGGGTTTCATTTGTTGTTGCTTTTCAAGTGTCTTGAGTTGCAACGTTAAGTCATTTATTTGTGTTCTTTCCAATTTTTTTTTTTTTATGTAGGCACTTAGAGCTATAAACTTCCCTCTAAGGACAGCTTTCAGGGTGTCCCAGAGGTTTTTTTGTGTTGTATTGTGCTTTTCATTTAGTTCCAGGAATACTTTTCTTTCTTAATTTCTCTTCTGACCCATTCATCATTCAGGAGTGTGTTGTTTAATCTACATGTGTTCATGTGGTGACTAGGGCTTCTTCCAGTGTTGATTGTAAGCTTTATTGCATTGTGGTCTGATAGAATGCGTGGAATTATTTCAGTCTTTTTGTATTTGTTGAGGTTTGTTTTGTGCCCCAGTATATGGTCGATTTTGGAGAAGGTTCCATGGGGTGCTGAATAGAAAGTGTATCCTTTGGTGCTTGGGTGGAATACTCAGTAGATGTCTTTTAAGTCTACTTGATATAAGGTATTGGTTAATTCAGATGTCTCTCTGTTAACTCTCTGCCCTGTTGACCTATCTAATGGAGACAGTAGGGTATTGAAGTCTCCTACTATTAATGGATTGGGATTAATCTGGGTCTTAATGTCCGGTAGTATTGTTTTTATGAAGTTGGGTGCACCAGAGTTTGATGAATATATGTTCATGATTGTAATATCTTCTTGGGTTATTGTTCCTTTGTTCAGAGTGAAGTGGCCCTCTTCACCCCTTCTGATTAGTTTTAGTTTAAAGTCTATTTGGTCAGATATTAGAATTGCAACACCTGCTTTTTTTTTTTTTAGTACCATTTGCTTGGTATATTTTTTTCCATCCTTTCACCTTAAGATAGTGCCTGTCCTTGAAAGTGAAATGAGTTTCTTGCAGACAACAAAAAAATGGGTTTTATTTCTTAATCCATTCACCTTGTCTGTGTCTTTTGACTGGGGAGTTCAGTCCATTAATATTTAAAGTATTGATGAAAGATGTGTATTGACTTCTCTCCTTTTTATTTCTGTTAACATTCTTGATAAAGCTGTACTTTTCCACAGTTATACCTTCATTGGATTTTTTTCTGCAACCCCTTGGGTATAGTCATTCCTTTCTTCAGCTCTTTGTATTGCTTCCAGAACTCTCTGAAGGGCTGGTTTTGTGGACATGAATTCCTTCAGCCTATTTATGTCATGGAAGATTTTAGACATTTTGGCTGGATATAGTAATCTGTGTTGGCATCTGTGGTCATTTAAAACTAGGAATGCTTTGGTCCAGGCTCTTGTGGCTTTCATAGTTTGCACTGAAAAGTCAGCTGTAATCCTAATGGCTTTTCTTTATATGTAACTTGTTTCTCTTTTTCACCTTTCAGTATTATCTCTTTGTTCTGTACGCTTAGTGTTTTTACTATGATGTGCCGTGGAGAGTTTCTTTTCTGGTCTTGTCTGTTTAGTGTTCTATATGCTTCTTTTATTTGTATGGGCATGTCTTTCTTTAATTTTGGGAAATTTTCTTCTATGCCTCTCTCTGGTCCTGTCTGTTTGGTGTTCTATGTGTTTCTTGTATTTATATGGACATGTCTTTCTTAATTTGGGGAAATTTTCTTCTTCGATTCTCTTGAAGATCTGGTCCATGCCGTTATCTTGGGATTCATCTCCTTCCTGTATGCCTATGATTCGTAAGTTTGGTCTTTCTTATGGTGTCACACAATTCCTGCATATTCTATTCTTGTGATTTCTTAAAAGTTTCATTGTTTTAAATTGGTCCTACTATGGTATAAGCTTGTGTTATATAATCCTTTTTTGACTAATGCAATCAAGTAGTTGATCGATAATATGTTTCTGTTTTTGGCAAATGTACTATTATGATCCAATTCATCGACTACTTCAGTTCATGGTTACTGTTCTTGACTTGGGGGTTTTTATTTTTATATATTATTTATACTGTGTCAGAATATACCTTAAATAATAATTAGTAAACAGTACTCATTGTGGATTCAATGATTTATAAAATGTTTTTACCCATTTTCGCACTTGAATATCTTTGTGTTGTGTAATATTTATAGGTGTATGCTCTTGTCTCAGGAGTGACAGCTGTGTATGTAGCCTCATTAATAACGTATTACTATATCTAATACTTGTTTTTAGACCACTTTCCTAGTGGATAACAAAAAGGTCTTTGGAACTCATCTCATGCAAGACATGGTGAAAGATGCTCTTCGGTCTTTTGTCAGTCCTCCGGTGCTTTCTCCCAAGTAAGTATTACAAAACATTTTATAGTGTGTGTTTTGTAAAAGCCCAACTTCTGTTCACTCATACTGTATAGCCAATGTACAAAAATTGTTTAGGATCAAATCTCCATATAAATATCTCAGTTGTGCTAAAATTGCTCTTATAGTCACTGCCCTGACAGCATGTTGTAAGAGGCTGGAATGGATGGCATGCAGCGTCATCATTTGAGCTGGTGTTTTGAGAAATTAGTAGGGCTTTTCCAATAGTGGGAAGAACTGAGTTGTCATTTCTTAGCAGAGAAACCAGCATCTGTAAAGACATGACAGTATGAAATGTATTCTGTAAACAGAGCTTCATCATTCTTACCAATGATTCGTGGAATGAATCATGCCATGTTTCATGTAAAACTCTGATAGCTTTCTGTGTTTGGGTTCCCCAGAAACAAACTCAGACTGTTCTTTGAAGTCAGTGTATTTTAGGAGGTGTTCCCAGGAAAAGCCAGCGGGATAGAAAAAAGAAAATAGCCTGCTAAATGAAGAGCTGATCTTCCTAAAACAAGGGACTCTAGATAGGCTGACTAGACTTAGTGGATGGACTTGCACTGGGGAACACCTGGGGACACTGACAACCCAGTGGGCCTTAACAGGGATAACCAAGTATATGGGCTCCAGTGGAGGGTGGGGGTGGTGCATGGCTCTGGGAAGGTGCCAGTGGCGGGGGGGGCATAAAGATTATTAAGATTGTTTGAGTTGTTCTGTATGAAATGCACAAAAAATTCAATTTTAAAAAATGCTATGGATAAAGAAAAGGGAAAAAGCCAGGCAACCTGCATTGAACTGAATGTATCCTTGGTTCAGTCCTATAGGAGCTGTGGACACAGGGATAAGAGAATTTGAGACCTACCCCTATACTGTCAGGTCAAGATTGTCTCTGGAAGGTCATAAATAACTGGCTGCCATACCTCATTTCATTTACAGTAAAGGCCATGATCTTTGTAATTCAGCCTAGAAGACCTGACACCTTCTGGTCTTTGCCTTCCCAGCCTCACCTCTTACTGCTCTCTTTATCTCTGCCTCAGTCATGCTTGCTTGCTTGTTCTTGGAACGTATAGGCTTTCCCTCTCACATACTGTGTTTTGTTTGTTTATTTTGTTTGTTTTTTTTTTTAATTTTATGTATATGAGTGTATTGTCTGCATATCTGCAAGCACACCCATGTTGTGCAATCCCTGCAGAAGCCAGAAAAGGACATCGGATCCCTTGGAACTGGAGTTAAGGATGGTTGTTAACCACCATGTGTGCGCTAGGATTCTAACCCCAGCCCCCTGCAAGAGCAGCCAGTGCTCTTAACTGCTAAGCCATCTCTCCCATCCCCTCACAAGCTGCTCTGTACATGAAGGGAAAATAAAGGACATTTTTCTCAAAGTCCCTGACTGTACCCTGCTCCTGCCACCTTCAGGTATATTGAATCTCATCTTGGTAAGAGCTGCTATGGCACCCTTACTTTAAAATTACAACTGTAAGCTGGGCATGATGATGCACACCTTTAAACCCAGCACTCGGAAGGCAGAGGCAGTCTGATCTCCATGATTGAGGCCAGCCTGGTCTATATGTGAGTTTCAGGCCAGCTGTGGCTACACGGAGACCCTGTCTTAAAAAAGACCAGGAGGTGGGGGCACTATAGTCATACTTTCATTTTTTCTATCTTTTCACTCAACTTTTCTTTTTAGATACTATATGACTCACTTTAGTGTCTTTATATTCCTCTTTTTCCATTCCCCCAATTAGAGTATAAACTTCACAGATGCCTAATAGCCAGGTGCCTTGACTGACGCTAGGTGCTAGAACAGAGTCTGGCAAGTAGTCAGCACCTGGTAAAAATTTTTGACTGAAACAAAGAAACAAGGCTAGAGGGAGTTTGATGGTCAAATAATTATGAATGACACTCATGAGTCTGAATAATTTGGTAAAGTGTGTTTTTGTTTTATGCTGAGGAATGACTCACATTTTTAGGTGGGAAATGGAGTAATTGGTTATATTATTTAATAGGAAGGAAACTGATAATAAAGGAAACAACAGTGAAGGAGAGGACAGAAACTATTTCAGAGAAAAACTGATAATGTAACATGATTGAATTGGAGTACAAAAGAAAATTTCACCTTCTAAAAAATTACCTTACTGTGCATTTGGAGTTCCTTGTGGAATCAGTTCTCTTCAACTTTTATGTGGGTTCCAGGGATTGAACTCAAGTTGCCAGGTGTCTTAGTTTGTTCTTCATTGCTGTGACAAAATACTCTGACCAATACCAGCTTGGGGAGGAAAGG